AGTTTATAGAGAAAATCAACAGATATTTATAGATTTTTATGTACATTATTATTAGCGTTTTTGTTAGCAGAGAAGCAACGTCTTCTGATTGGTTGTTTTCCTGCTGAAAGTTATTCTGTCATCTCGCATGATACATCTACATTTCGTATCCGCCCACGCTAAGTCTGCTGTGATTGGCTGTTGAATTTTTCGAGGTTAGGCTTAGTTTTTGTCTTTTCTCTTGACCCCGATTTGGGACGTAAACATTGACGTAAATTGCTGTCTACCAATTTTGGCTAGCAGAAAGCTCTCACCAAACTACTCGGTTGTACAACAAATGTGCAATTTCAGTTCGACAACGAATGTCTTGCTAGGTAATAATGTAGAAATGGGCTCTCGCAGAGACCTGCTTTTAACCGATATGTTTATGGTAAAAAAAGAGAATCTTCCACCTAAACATATAATCAATGAACTTTCGTTCTACTGTAGAGATATGGAATGAAAGAATAAAACCAATACCGCGGTCCTTCGCAAAATGTGGCTCATCCAAAAATTGAGTTCAACACAGGGAACATAGAAAAACAATAATTTATCATTTTTGGACATTGCTAACAAAAAGGCTAGATTTCATAGTAGATAAGTTTATTTTAATAATCACACATTGATGCAGCATTAACATTTGGATGACAAGGTTTCGAGCATAAATTATTGCCAATCATAATCATATAAATTTAGTCACACGTTCCTACAATTTGTCTGATATAATTGATGATATGATTATGAACAATAAATTTTATTCGAAACGTCGTCATCCAGTTAATAATACTGCTTCCCTCACTGTGTGATATATCTAATATACAAACTAATATGGAATTTCATACATTTATTCCCCTTAATGAATTTGAACAAAGCAAGAACTACAGTTTTAGCAGAATAAAATGGTACCATCTTTTATTTCGTTGCTTTCTCGTCAGCTGATTACATGGCAAAGACATTATTAAATATATCTACAACAACAATTTTAACATACTTGCACAGAGTTAAGTTTAAACAAAAATCAATCGATCAATATACGCATACACTAAAAATATATACATATATAAATATGCAATATTAACCACTATTCCGAACAATAATAATCAAACACAATGGAAACTTTTAGCATTTCACATTCGGAGGAAAGAGAGGTGAAATTATCCAGTTACCAGGGCAAAGAAAGGCTGATAACCGCTTCTTTCTGGACGCATAAATCAGGTTTCAGGCGCTTGATGGAAATGGCTTCAGCAAACTTAAGGAGAATTGAGCTATTTTGCTTATTGACAATTTTGAACGACTTTTCAACGTCCACCTCATGACCCGTGTCGAGAAGATGCCTGGTGATGACACTGCTTAAAGCATTTGTTCCCTTTAGACGTAAGCTTTTTGGTACATGTTCAGAAAATCGTAGATATGCCCTTCTTTCTGTCCTTCCAATGTAACTGCTCCCGCAGATAGATGTAAATTTGTATACACAGTTGGAGGTAACATGAGAATGATATCTATCGATTTTTGATTGCACCAAAGAGCAAGTTGTTCGATAGACGGGAACGAGCTTAGCTGCAGGATACGCTATGGCTAGTGATGTACTCAGCCTTCTGTTGATCATCGCTGCAATATTTTCACCTTTATAATCAAGCTGAAGGTAGACTGGCTTTTTTTCCACTCTGATTTGTTTTACTTTTGTGACTTCAGATCTTCCATACTTGTTGATGAACCTTTGAGGATACCCATTTCTCTTCAATATATTTTCAAGGAACTCAAACTCCTCCTCTAGTTTCTCTTTAGAGCATATTCTCCTCGCTCTATAGTACAAAGCTTTGACTAGACCACGTTTAAAGCTATGTGGACAAAAGCTATTAAAATGCAAGTATTGTCCTTTCCATGTGGGCTTTCGATAAATTGACTTTTGAAGACTACCGTCTTCTAGGCGTTCCATGGCTATTATATATATATATATATATATAATAGTGAAATTACATCCGAAGATATAAGACTGATAAGCAAATAAAATACATTGAATTAATCACGTGGAACGACATGTGCGACTGTTTTCCAGTTCATCTTCAAATAGAAAAGGGGCGAGGGAGTATGCGAGATTAACATTAAGATAAAATGTATTACACTTCAATTACATCACTTAGGTAAACAATTTGTCATTAGGGAATATATCAAGAATTGCGAACGGAGTAGTATTAATAGTTTTAACAGTAATAATAATAATAATCCTGAAGGGAGTTAAGATAATTTTACTAATAAAAGATAATTTTAAATGAATCAAGAACAATAATAATAATAAAGGTTAGAATAAAGTGTTAATAATACTGATATCATCCATCAAGAAAAAAGCTCAGCCATTGCACTGTATTCACTTGTATGTAATCACACAGTGTTAGGGTAGGACATAGTGAGAGTATTAAAAAGTAATATAGTGTTAGGTGGAGATACAGAGAGGTTATTCATTGAAGCTTTGTTTATCAATTCAACACCGTAAATGTGCAATCGGAATGACGCAACGCCTATATCGGAGATTTGAAAAGTGTCAACAAACAGTAGAGGGAAGTTGGAGAGACAGAAAGAGTGAAAATATATGTATAAGATAAATTGTGAAACTGTGTGACTAAATTGATATGATTGGCAATAATTTATGCTGGAAACCTTGTCATCCAGTTGTTAATACTGCATCACTGTGTGATTATTAAAATAAACTTACCTGATATGGGACTGTGCATCGGCGGCACAGCGGTAAGGTGCTCACCGATCACGCCTCAAGTGATCCTGGGTTCGATCTCCGGCCGACGCCGCACTCCTATACCTTGATAAGCCAGTAGTAAAACTGGTAAAGTGGGAAGGTTCGGCATGAGGCTAGCAACCCCATCGTGTAAAAGTACAGACCACAGCTACCGAAACTTCAAGCCTCTTACTTGAAGCCATATGTTCCACATAGAACGTAAAGTAATAAAAAAATATGGAACTGCATTCTACCACAGTGCTCGAGTTCTGCACTTACATTTAAAAGGCTAGATGGCAATATTATGCGGGGTATATCGCAAAAAGAAGTCATTGATCGGTTAACACACCCACTTCACATCGTATGTTTCTCTTGCATACAAACGAAATCCCATCAGTATCGTGATATTTTGTGCCAGAAACATCTGTACAATTGACTTTCGGGGTTATGAAATAAGAAAAAATAGAAAACTCATTATATGATAATGGATATCCAGAAAAACTTTTTAAAGTGTCCATGATGAGAACAACTGGAGAGAAATGCCTGCAAATAGTGCAAAGAGAGATGGAGCTACTGGAAAGCAGGGAAACAATCTGATAAAACATTCTTTGCCACAGTAGTATGTTTAAAACTCAACACTCACTGTATATATCCAATGCACGTGAAGTATAACCTACCGAATTTGGTCAGTTTTAATGTTCATTTATGATTTTCATTGCTTTTGTGAAGGTAGTAACATGGGAAGAACAGCTCAGAAAGCCCACCGTTATCTACTTCAGCTTTGTATAATGCAGTTAAGAGAAGGAGTCAATAAAGTTAATCAGAAGTTCTGTATTGTCACACCAAGTGCTTACAGAGTAGAAGACTGCTAAATATTCAGACTCTACAATTCTATACAAGGTGCCACCTTACTTATCAATGTTGTATGCCTTCAGCTGCTAAGCACAGTTGAGACAGATACCCCAAAAATGACTCACTCTGATATGATCTAAAAAAAATTTTATCACTCCTTTCACTCTTCATCCGATAGCGTCATCCTTTTCTGAAAACTTGAATAGTTTTCAGTTCCAGTGATACCGAATAACTGACTGATAGAATTCAGTCTGCACCAAAGAAAGGACTAGACAAGTCGCACAGTGGTTAGGACTCTCGCCGACCATGCACATGGTCCAGAGTTCGAGCCCTCGCCGACGCACACCTGATATCTATGGTCGGCCTGCGAATTTTGGGCTACCGATATCCATGCTGAAAATTACATACTTGTACCAAAAATACGGTGTGGAATCAAGCTATAGTCGAAAAATAAAAATAAATAAATATTAGTGTCCAACCAAAAATACTCCCTACAGTCCTACAGGAGGTCAATCGCGAGCCTGAAAAGCTCAGTGGTAACGTCTGTGACGGTGGAACTCACTGGGTGACACAGGTTCGAATCTCAGAAGGGATATGAGTTCCCTCAAGGTTGGAGATATGCCTTGCTGACTAGTAAGTGCCGACTAGCACGAAACCTAGGTCAACCAAGGCTTCCTGTGGCCGACTGCCTCCAACTATCTATTATTACCATACCGAATAAATGTAAATATTATCTTTATTATCATTCCAATGTTGTTAAAATTCAATGTTTTAATTTAGTTTCACAATTTTCTAGCAGACTAAACACCTTGTTATCTAATTCCCATGAGATAACAGATATTCCCCCTGTCTGTCTGTCTGTCTGTCTCTCTCTCTCTCTCTCTCTCTCTCTATATATATATATATATATATATATATATATATTCTACTTACACATTTACAGTGATTGACTATCTAGATCATGTTAACACTTGCATGAATTTGTCCTTGTTATTGTTATGATGATCACCTTTTGATGATAATTCACTGGTTAATATGACTGACCTTCAATTCTATTTACTATATCGGTTTCAAATGTCTGTGTTTAATTGTGAATTTTTGTTGAGAAGTTACTGAAAACTAAGCACTTAACTTTCAATGGTGCTCTCAAATCATCACTGTAGAAATATCTGACTTGTAAAGACGCTTCAAAGATATCTGAGGATTAATACGTTGTGATTTGGTGGATAGCTGTGCATTTCAACCTGCAATCTTGAGTGAGTTTTAGTGTTCCCCACTGGAACTGGGATTTATACTTGTACACTTACACTACTTAAATAAGTAGACACTGTAATAAATGAAAATATTTGAATGCTTCCTGAGCATATTATTCCTGCACTGCTTTATTATTATTATTATTTAGACCATCAGACTGTGAATTCAATATACCATTTGATGATATCAAACTGGTTGACTGCTTACTAAAAGGTGAACGCAAAGCAATATACAAGTAAGCTGATCGCTTTCGTTTGTCTTTTTTTCTCACAAGTATCACAGTGGCGTGTTTTTTTTTTATAATTTTGTTTTTTAGAGAATGCCGTACATATAAGAAGTGTAATTTTTATGAGTATAAAACTTGGGAATTTTGGCAGAGTATAACGCCATTATTGATAAGGTTTTATTCTGATAAAGTCTCAGAGTATTAAACAGTAATATTTACTGATGACCACGTTTCCAGTACACTTTATTGCCACTCATAATCACATCAAGGTACTCCTCATACAGCTTTTTTGCTTCATTTATATACCTAAGTGATGGAATTGATTAGACGTTTGAATAAAATCAAAAATAAGATAAAATACACTCGGAAATAATATTAGTGTTATCAATAAAATACAAGATGGGAAATAAGATGTTTTTATAGTAGAAATAAGTAACTTGTTAGAATGTTATAATGTGAACTGAATACATTTTAACATTATTTAATTGTCCTCTGATTCGCTTGGTGGTAATAATATCTTCCATATCTCTGGTATTTAACTTGAGTTACTTCTGATGCTTATGAGTCGAAATTCTGAAAAGTAATCTATGTCGGTGGAGAGAGAGAGAGATTCATTACTGAATCCTGCCTGGTTCATTGAGTTTGCACCCCACACATGCAACAGAATTGACTCAACGCAAATATTAGAGATATGGAAGATATTATTACCACCAGTCACATCAAAGGAGGATAATAAATAATCTCAAAATTCTATTTCAATTCAAGCACATCACAACATTCCAACAAGTTACTTATTTATTTTGACTATAAAAACACTCGTCTTTTTTCCCATCTAACTGTAATTGATCAACAACACTCGTATTATTATTTCTGAATGTGCATTATCTTATACTGATTTTTATCTAAATGTCTAATCAATTCCATACATGTATAAAAATGAAGTGAGAGTTGTGTGATTGACTTGATATGATTATGAGCAATAGTTTGTGCTCGAAAGGTGGTCATCAGTAAATATTACTGTATAACACCACTGTGTGATTTATCATAAAAAATCTTATCTATAATGAAGTGTAATTTTTCTCGTGGTTAAGAAACTTTCACTTTCAAAGTTGTATATAATCCTGTTTGCAAACCACTTTTTTCTGATACGTAGTTAGGTTCAAATTAGCAACAATCAGTGTGAATTGCATTGTTTTAGACGGATGGAAATAATTTTTGTATGACCTTATGGAGTTATATACTTCCGTACTTCGAAGTTTCTGTAGCCGCTGGGTTGATTGTCTGGGGTAGGGTCACTGACCCTACCCCCTAAACCTTCCCACTTTTTTCAGGCTTATGACTACTTAGTAAAGTAGTGAACTAACAAACTAGGTGAAAAGATGAAAATCAACAGGAACACTGAAGAGAACAGGATGAAATAAAGATGTACTGATGGCATTTCACTCGGAATCTAAGGGAATCATTATAATTTAGTTATACTCTACTGTCCAAAAATATGACTCTATATGTCGACTTAAAATGTTGAGAGCTAACACTTTTCGACGACACTAAGCGCAATATTCAAGTATTTTAATAAGGGGAGAATTAGATGGTAGCATTTGTCTAATTCATCTGTCTTCAACCTCTGAAGTAGCAGTCTAACTTTCCAGCCTTCTTGGATGCTGACAAGATCCATTTTAACTTGGTCTTCATATCTGAGGAACCGAGTATAGAATGTGTTGCGTCTGCGTCACAAATCAGTTCAGGCAAGCCGTGGTTGCAGTTATCACTGACCGGTGATGAATATATCCTCCGGCAAAGGAATATATCCTCAAAGCTGGCAGTTGCTGTTCCACTGATTTCTACTAGGGTGAAGGCTCCGTATCAGTGTTTTATTATTATATTATTATTATTGTATCCTTTAGTTCCTAGAGGAACATAGGGCTTCAGCTGCGCACCTCCATTGACTTCGGTTTTCTGACAACTTTTTCACCCTGCTCCAGGTCTGTCCACATGCTTTCATCTCCTCCTCGCATGACCTCCTCCAAGTCACCCTTGGACGACCAACTCGCCGCCTCCCTTTCGGGTTCCACTCGAGGGCTTGTCTAGTGATGTCACTTGATGGTTTCCTCAGCGTATGGCCAATCCATCTCCATTTCTTTCTGCCTATTTGTTTCACAATCGGTTCCTGATTGGTTCGCTCCCAGAGATCCCTGTTGCTGATCTTTTCTGGCCATCTGATCTTGAGTATTGAGCGGAGACAGTTGTTAATGAAGGTTTGAAGTTTGTTTGAGATGCTCTTTATGACTCGCCAAGTCTCTGATCCGTATAGTAGCACTGACTTCACATTGGAGTTGAAAATCCGGATCTTATTTTTGATGCTGATTGCTGTTGACCTCCACACAGATTTGAGAGTAATGAAAGCTTGTCTTGCTTTTCCGATTCTGGCTTTGATGTCCTCGTCAGTTCCGCCTGTAGTTGAGACGATGCTTCCCAGGTAGGTGAAGGAGGTTGTTTCTTTCAGGTTCTTCCCATTTATGCTTATTGTGGTCTGTTGTTGCTGTTGATGTTGGCAAGGAATCTTCATCATCTCTGTTTTATCTATGTTCACGTGAAGTCCTATCTTTGATGCTTCTTCTGCCAACTTGTTACTTTTCATTTGCATATCTTCCAGTTTATGGGAAATCAGACATATATCATCGGCGAAATCCAGATCCTCCAAGTCTTTTGTGTCAGTCCATTTTATGCCTGTTCCCTCGTTGGTTGCCGTTGTCTGTCGCATTATCCAATCAATTGCAATCAGGAAGATCATTGGTGATAGTAGACAGCCTTGCCTCACTCCCGTCCTCACTTCGAAGGCTTCCGTAAGTTTCCCGTTGTGGATTACTTGGCATGCAGCATTGTCGTATAACTGTTGGATGAGGTGTATAATTGTCGATGGGACCCCGTAGTAGCGAAGTAGTTTCCAAATGACCTCTCGATCGACGCTGTCGAAGGCCTTTTCAAAGTCGATGAAGTTGAGATAGAGAGGTGACTGCCATTCCAAGCTTTGTTCAATGATGATCCGTAGAGTGGCGATTTGATCAATACATGATTTGTTTCTCCTGAATCCAGCCTGTTCCGGACGAAGTTTTTCATCTAGGGCTTGTTTGATTCTCTCCAGGATGATGCGACTTAGTATCTTGCTTGGAATGGACAGAAGCATAATTCCACGCCAGTTTTTACATTGACTTAAGTCTCCTTTCTTTGGAAGTTTGAATAAGTAACTGTTCTTCCAATCCTCGGGTACTTTGCCCTCTTTCCACACCTTCTCCAGTAGTGGTGTCATCAAGTCCGCTGTTGTCTCTGGGTCTATTTTCAAAGCCTCTGCTGGGATTCCATCTGGTCCCGGTGTTTTCCCAGTTTTAAGCATCTTGATTGCATTCAGGACTTCTGATTTCGTCGGGGGGTCAGTGTTCACTGGTAGTTCTGCTTCCGTTGTTGGTATTGCTGGACGTGTTGTAGGTGGCGGACGATTTAGAAGTCTTTTGAAGTGTTCAACCCAGTGCTTTCTCTGTTCCACCTCTTTGGTGATTGACTTTCCATTGTCGTCCTTTATTGGCTTAATCTGTGTCGAACGTTTGCCCGAAAGGTTCCTAGTTGTTTGGTAGAGTGTGGCGAGGTCTCCTTTGCCTGCAGCTTGTTCTGCTTCGTTTGCCATGGTTTCATAATATTTTCTTTTGTCTTCCCTGGCACTTTTCTTCACTCTTTTGTTCAGTGTATTGTAGCTTGCATTCAGCTCCTGTTTTTGTTGCTCGTCCGTGCACTGGATAATCTTTTGCTTCACTGTCCTTCTCTCTTCTATTAGTTTCCAAGTGTCCGTAGTGAGCCACTGTTTGTCCTGTCTCTTTTTTCTGCCTAGAATTTCTATGCAGGTTTGGCTCCACACCGTTTTCAAGTTGTTCCAGTGCTTTTCAACGCCGACCTCTTCGCTAGTGTTGATTTGTGTCTCGGCTTTGTCCTTTATGCTTGCAATGAAGATGTCCTTTGTAGCCTGGTCCTTCAGCTTTTGAGTGTTGAACTTGGCTTGTGGTCTATCTGCAGCTCCTCCTTCTCTGAAAGCTTTTAATTTGATTTGGATTGTCCCTTGTACGAGATAGTGGTCTGAGCCAACGTCTGCTCCTCTTCTTGCTTTTGTGTCCAGTAGGCTGCGCCTCCACTTCCTTGAGATTGAGATGAAGTCGATTTGGTTTTTGGTTTGCCCGTCTGGTGACACCCATGTAGCCTTGTGGATATCTTTGTGCTTGTATACACTGCCACCAATCACCAGTTCGTTGAAGGCGCAGAAGTCGGCGAAGAGTTCTCCGTTTTCATTCATTTCTCCTAGAGCTTCTCTACCCATGATGAGTTCCCTTCCCGTATTGTCTGGTCCCAGTTTGGCGTTCATGTCTCCCATTAGTATTTTCATGTCGCCAGCTGGAGTATTGTCCATTGTTGCCTGTAGTTGCCTGTAGAATTCTTCTTTCTTCTCGAGGTCTGCGTTGTTTGTGGGTGCATAACATTGTATGATTGACACTTTCCTTCCTTTGGAGTTGAACCTGGCGGTCATTATCCTGGACGAAATCGCCTCCCATTGTATCAGTGTTTTAACCACTGCCAAAAACTAGTATAATACAATAGGAATACGGATGTTAGTGGCACCAAAATATTGAAATGACCGGTGTTGATGATAAATAACAATTTTTTATAGTTGGTTTGTAAAGATTAGATTTGTGTTTAAGAGTTGATCACTGACTGATATCAGTTAAAGAACGACTGAAAACTGACAGGGTGTACTGGAAAGCTGTTTCATCCTAGTTCGGGAATCATCGGCACTACGGCCCCTCGGGTAGGGACCCAGAACCTTCCGGTTACAAGGCGAGCTCGTATATCATTCAGCTTCTGGGACCCGATTCAACAGAGCATGAATTCTAACCTCTACCATTTCGTGAAGCATTTAGCGCGACCACCAACCAATGTCATCTGTGGGAACTCCATCCTCACACTTGACT